TCCTGCAGATGTTTTCTTCAGTCTGCTCTGAGAGATGCCATTGATGCAAAGACCAGAAACTCCCAGCAAGTCTTGTCCTTCCTGCTTTAAGTTTATCCTTAAAATGTTTTTCTTAGCCCCTAATCAGAATCTTTTCTTGCTTCCTTGGGTTTAAACCCAAGATTTCCTGTGCTATCCTCCATGGACACAGAGTGCAGGTTTGATTTTTTCTCCCTACCACCTTTTACATAATTGGAGATGTTTCCTCATGCTGATTTTCTGTAGTATAAAATTCTTTCTGTGTTTTAGTATGTTTGTTTATTCTCCCTTTCCAAATAGCTCTAAACAAATCCAAACCAAAACTAGACCAATCTGTCCTGGCTTGCTGGTTATATAGTGCTGGAATGTTTCTCATAACATCTGTTCAGACATATGCAAGGTTGCAGCTATGCGCCGTATATCCAGTTGAAAGGAACAGGCATATTTATCAGCTGTGCTTCATGCATCATTTAATAGCAGAGTAAGTATTTAATAGTTGACAAGGTTGCCTGTTGTTTCCAGGCAGCTTTGTAGTTCAGAGCCTTTCAAAAAGGGGAAAAAGGTTAATATCATCTTCCTTGTTTGAAATTCAGTCCTTGGCTGTGCTTGTGCCCTTTACACCTAGGCTGGTGTGGTCTGAGAAGGAAGGCAGAATTAATCCAGGAGAAAATTACCTATTTCCCATGACTGTATTAAGAAAATGCAGTGCCAGGTATATGAAATCGTTAGCATAAAATGATAGTTCAAAAGCCTTTTGCAATTTCTCTGCTAACTAGGATTAAACCTGAATGGTTCATTAGCAGAACAGGCAGATATCGTTCCTGGAGGACCCCATCTCCTGAGCTCCCTGTCCCAGGAGGAATTGCACCTTCACTTAGGGAAGTAGGAACAGGGAGACCTAAGAGGGACCAAAACAGGTAGGCTATTGTCATAAGATTGTTAGCTAACATAGAGTAATTATTAAAATAGACTAATGGAGTAAGTAATCTAAACTCATGTTACTTAGATACTTGAAGTATTGTTCAGTGTCTTTATTTTTTGTGATTCTAATGAGGCTTTTGCCTTTCCTGGGTATGGCCTGGATCCTGCTGCTGGAGGCCTGCTCCCTGGCCCTTCCCAGGCACTGCGTGTCAGGCCTCTGGGGCAGGAGGTCACGACATATCAGTCTCTCTCCTTATTTTGGTTTCACACTTCCTGAACTATTGCCACATCTACTTTAATCATGGGTGAAGTATTTTCTTCCAGCATCTCTATTTAATATGTTACTGGTTGTTTTTTTTCCTCTCACTTCCCCATATTTTGCTGCTACATTACAGTTGCAAGCTATCGTACATTCTGTATGTCAGTTTACCCAGCCTTTCTGGTATGAGTGTGAAAAGGTGTTTGAATCATAGGACCACTCATGCTGGTAGGGCCCTTGGGAGGTCCCCAGTCCAAACCCCAGCTCAGAGCAGGGGCAGCTTGGCCTCCACCAGGTCGGTCACGGCTCTGGCCAGTCCGGTCTTGGGAGACTACAGGGATGGAGGTGGCACAACCTCTCAGGGCTCCATTGCAGACTGATAATTTTTTTCCTTATATCCAGTCTGACTCTTGCCCGTTTTTCCTGTCCTCCTGCCCAGCTCCATCTTCCAGATGCCTCCCGGTAGGAACAGAGTGATGACTACCAGGTGTCCCTCAACCTTTTTTCTTCTCCAGCCTGAACCAGCCCCAGTCCCTCAGCCTCTCCTCACAGGGCAAGCACTACTGTCCCCTGAGCATCTTGGGGGCCCTCAGCTGAGCTCGCTCCTGGTTTTTAGGTCTTCCTTGTATTAGGGGCATTGGGACAGGACACAGAATTGAGGTGTGGTCTAAGGAGTGCTGAGCAGAGGGGGATAATCGCTTCCCTCCATCTGCTGGCTGTGGTCCTGTGGTCCTACAGCCCAGGACGCTGTTGGCCTTTGTTGCCAGGGCACAAGTTCAGCTCGTGTCTGCCAGGACCCTTGTGTCCCCTCCAGCAGAGCTGCCCCAGCCTGTGTCGCTGCCAGGGGCACTGCCCACCCGGGGCAGGACTTTGCCTTTGTCCTTGTAAGGTCCCTGCTGGCCCTTTCCTCCAGCCTGGCTCAGTCCTCGAGCAGAGTGACTGGTCCCTGCAAATTTGGCGTTACCTGCAAACTTGAGCAAGTGCTCCACTGCCTCCCCCAAATAAAAATGCAAACCAGGACAGGTGCCCTGAGGCACTCACTTGTTGCCAGCCTCCAGGCTGAATACCGAGCGTGACTCTCCAAGCCGGGCTTGTGTGGTGGGACACAATGTCAAATGCCTTGCTGAAGTCAAGGTAAATGGCAACCACCTCTTTTCCCTTATCCACAAATCCAGTAATTTGATCGCAGAAGGCAGTCAGGCTGGTCAGGCATGATTTACCCAGGGAGCTTCCAGTCAGCTCCTCTGTTGTGACCAGAAATGTGCTCCGAGAGGGGTCACTCCGTGATTTTGCCAGAGAGAAAAGTGAGGCTGACCAGTCTGTATTTTCTTAGGTTGTCACTTGGCCCTTTCTGAAGGCGGGTGCAACATTTGCCTTTCTTAGTTGTGGGGAATCTCCTGCATCTTCATCTCTTTTCAAAGATGGTAGAGGGAGCCCTCATAAGGACACTGGTGGGCTTCCCCAGGACCCATGGATTCAACTCATGTTGTCCTATGGGCTTGTGTGGGTAGAGACAACCTGCTTGACTCATCTTCCTTGCCTGTCTTTCCTGAAGAGCTGGTATCTCTCCATGCCAGCATCCAGCTGTGTGAGCTTAATGATTGTGAGGGACAGACAGAAGTTAAGGATCAAACTCATGTCACGTGTGGTCTCAGGAAAGCTGCTGTCCTCAGCTTTTGCTATGGCCTCACTCCACTGACTTAGGGTAGGAACAGTGTATATTTGTGCAGCCCCCAGTTAGACTGAGTGTTGATTGCTGTAAAAGCCTTTGAATGTTACTGCAATGTGAGTGGCGTTTGTATGTTTTTCATTAGCATCTCTGGAGTCCTTTTTTCCCCTCCTGTCCACAAGCTAGTTCACAGAAATGGCTTGCCGCTGGTACAGCGGGGTATATTGACATGGAGAAGTAAATTAAACATACAGTGGAGAGAGAACAATATCGCACCGCACTAATTCCACAATTTCAGGGATATATTCAGTCAGAAATGGAACAGCGAGTGCAAGGAAGAGAAGGAAGGGGAAAGGAACCAGGCAGAGTAAGAGAGGCAGATGGGAAACAAAGCTGGCACAGACTGGATGAAGGAATTGATTAGTGCAAGTAATTAATCAGAGTCAGCATTCATTTAATTTGTGACTTAATCATGTGTATTGTGGAGTTTCTCTTGCAGGGTATGGGGCTTCAGTACCTTTCCATACTGTTATTGCACATAAACGTAAAGAGAGCAGAAGGAGGACCAGCTCATGTTCTTAATTCTTCTCACTTAAGAAGAGGAGAGAAAGGAAGGCAGGGAGAATCGAGGGAAGAAGCTCTTCCCACCAGCAGAAAAAATACTGCTATACGAAAGACAATGTGGGTGGCAGCGATTTGTAAGGAGAAATCATAATGATGAAATCTGTCTAGTTTGGCTAAGTAGTGACTTCGGAGGAGGACATGAAAATATCTCTTGAGTATTTGAGGAGGAGGAATTACTGAGGGTGGTCTAAAAGAACAAAAGCCACAGTAGTAGGTTAAAATTTAGAAAGTACATATAAAGTATGAAGAGATTTTTCCTGACAGTGAACTCTGACAGAAACTAAAGCTGCCTCTGAAAGAAGTTTTAACAAGATCATTACTGGATTGGATATAGTCGGGAAATAAGATGGGACTAACTGGGAAATAAATAGACTCAAACCATGAATGAAATGGCTGTCCATGTCTTTATTTTGTGATAGTCTCATAGCTACAAAAGGGTCTTCTACTTTCAGCCTGTTGGGGAAGTCAGTGCTACAAGAATAAAGGAATAGAAGTGTCCTAGAAGTGCTTGTCCCAGAGCTGCTAGGACTGGGGTATGCACGTTAAATAATCTTTATTTCAGTCCAACCAGATGTCTCATGTAATATTTCTTTGTGCATCCCTGTGTTTAAATGTTTCAATTTCCTGTGCAGCTTGGGAAGGAAAGCAGTCAGATGGACAGTCAAGCAGCCCTCAGAACTCCACCTCCAGTTCCTCTCCCTCTGTGAAGCTTGATAACTCCTTGCCAGGGTTGGGGAAGAAACCGTTCCAGAGATCTGACAGGCTCCATGCAAGTAAGATATTTATTTTTCTGCTTACAGAGATTTGGTTGCTCTGATGACAGAACAAAAGCCTAAATAGCAAAATTGAGTAAAATGTGTAATTAATTCCATTGCTGAAGTGACTTCTGAACAATTCTGGAAGGTACTGCTAGTATGCTGTGTGAATTAGGATAAATAATTCAAAGCTTCCATATGCAAATGAGCCTCTTCTCATTTCTTACCGTCAGGGGTTTCTACCTGTGAATTTGCAGCTTGCTGTTTGAGAAGCAAAAAAGGACTTGCATTATTTAGCAGGCTTTTTAATGTACTTAAGACACTTTGATAACATTAAAAAGAAAACAGAAATTCCTTCCTAGATCTGTGTACTTCAGATCCCACTGTTATTTGGCTTCCTTCCCGTTCCTTGAAGTTAGGTCTTTCTCAGCCCCCTGACCTTCTGTGGTTTCTTTTACATATACCACTGATGGAATTGACCCGGGTGAACTTAAGGATGTTCTGAGGTCTCTATCTGTGCTAATCACCCTAGATTTCCTTTATCACTGGTGAAAAGAGACACTTCTCAGGCATGTTTCATTTGTCCTCTGTAATTAGGAAATTCTGCAACTTAAGTAGATTATAAACCTGCAGAGCCATATTCGGAATGGCTTCTAATAGAGCAGACTTCCCTAATGAAACAAGCCTCCGTGGCATTTGTTAGGTACCTTAAAAATAATTGCTGTTACCTCTGAAGCCGGGGGAGCAGTGTCTGTCTTAATATTACCCATTTTGCTAATAATGCACTTTCAATCTAAGCTTCAAAACACATGGTATTTTGCCAGTAATAGACAGTGGATGAATCCAAAGGAACCAGAATACACAATACAAATGTTTCTTCGTTATTCTTCTCTGAATGTGCAGCACATACATGGAGCTGGCTGTAGCATATTGGCTAATGCTGGACTCGCAGGCTTTCAGATGCACAAAGAGAATAGTTACTCATTTTTACGGCTTCGTCTAGTGTTGTGGCTTCTACACAAACCAGAGCCGATGATTTTTTATGAAATGCTTCTGCTGAGAACAAAGTAGGAAAGTCCAAGAAGAAATCCCAAGGAACAAACTGACCTTAACCAGAGGTCTAAAATAGAAAATTGATGTGGCTAAAAGCAGTCCTAGAAACCTTCCTGAAAATGACTCCGTGCCAGTCCCCAGGGAGCCAGGATTCCTGCAAAAGTTAGGTGAACTGACACAGGCTACGGTATAGTGGGTATGGAAATTTTCTGTGCTGGAAAGCACCTCCCACGTTTTGTTTTTAACTGTATGTGCAAAGGTAAAACCTATATTTCAAGTCAAGGTGTGAAATGGATTACTAAGGTGGCATTTTGAAAATCTCAGGTGCAGTGAACTCCAAAGGGGCCTTTAATCCTCTCTTAGGTAAGACATTACTTACGTCTTTGTGGTTCATTGCAGGGCAGCTGAAGAGAACAAAATGTGCTGAAATCGATGTGGAAACTCCCGACTCCATCCTCGTGAACACAAACCTGCGGGCGCTGATCAACAAGCATACGTTCTCTGTCCTGCCAACAGAATGCCAGCAGCGCCTGCTGCTGCTGCTGCCAGAGGTGGACAGGCAGGTATGTCGTGCCTTGGAAAAAAGAATTCCAGTTTGATAAGCCAGTGGCTTAACTCTGTTTAATCAACTCCACAGTCCCAGCTACAGCGAGAGCAGTGTTTCTGTTACCTTGGACTTGAAGAAGGCCAGGAGTGAGGGGAATGCAGCAGTTTCAGCATCTTCCTCTCTCCTGTCCTCTCCCAGACTCTTCAATACAGGATTACCCCTGCAGCCTTTTTAGAGAGGAGTCTTCCCACAGAGTACCGCAACAGACGCTGCCATTTAGCTCCAGCCTCTTCGGTTTCTGATGACCTTGTGTCACTGCTGCCGAATTCTGAATTTCGTACAGCAAAAACTGAAGGAGTTTTCTGTTGCTTATTCACACTGTCCAGACTGCAGTATAGCCTTGACCTGCTCCAAGGAGCTTGTGCCCTGACCTGAAACATTAAAGGCACTGAGCATACAGCATGCGTCAGCTTGGGAGGCAGTTTATTTTTGTGGATTGTCTGTTTAAATCTCTTTGTATGTGAAGAGAGGAATTTGGAACAGCAGAAAAGTTCCAGTGAGGAGGAATGGGTTTGTTAGCTCTGGGAGTGGCACAGAAAAAATGGTGAAGGTTTTTACCGAGCTCTTCCCTAAACAGTTGGTGATAACTGGAACAATTAACATGAGTGACAGGGGGTAAGAACTCTGCCTTCAGTATTGAAAGAAGAGCTAGGAGAATCTTTTGATAAGACAGTTACTTCAACTCAGCTGGATCTGAGGAATTCATCCATAGGGTACATAAAGAGCCATCTGAAGCAATCTCAGCATTACAGCAGTGTTCTTCAGCAGCTTGTCGCAGCAGGGATGATACTGAGAGACAACAAAAGAACAAATGTTACGCTTGCGTGTAAAAAGAGGAAAAACCAATGAGTTCAGGAAGTGAAGTTCAATCTGTTTATGCTCAGTAGCAGAAAAGTTGTAGCTAGAAGAAGGATGCTTCCTTCCTTTCACCTTATTCACGTGTCATGTTTGTCTTCAGCACTCCTACCCCAGCTGGCTGGGGGTTTCAGAGCAAAGTGGGGTTCTGCGTCGTGCTTCCACTTCGGCTGTAGGGCTCTTAATTTGAACGCCTTCACGTGTGTGCCCAGAGCCATTTCAAATGTTCTTTAGACACCAAAGCTGGCTTCAAGGTGCCACTCCAGATGGAAATCTTCTGTGTGTCCTGTCTCAGATCTGCAAGTCCCTTGAAGATACTGTTCTGCATGGTGTTCAGATCAGTACTAGATGCCTGTGTTTACACACCGCAGCTGCCTCACAGGAGTCTCAGCTGGTTACTCTGGGCTCCTTTTGCAGAAACTGGAAGTCTGGTTGGTACAATCCAGAGCCTGTGACCCAGTGCTGGTCTCTGCTTCAGGGCGAGGTGAGCTGAGTCCCCACCTCCATATGCTCACTTGATTCAATCACTATAATCTGTGAGGGGACATCAGTTTAGACGTAGACACTTCGAGCACAGCCAGCCACGTCTAGTGAAGTTACAGCCATCCTCGTGCTGTGCTGCTCTTCTGGTTCTCACAGGATGTTAATAATGCCTGTGGGTCAGGTCTGCTTTACGGAGGATGCTTTGCTGAACAGATAGTGTTCATTTGGAGTTAGGAGGAGTTCTACCATTTTATGGTGTCTTGTAAATTCTAATCTTCAATTGGCATTCATCGGAGACTTCTTAGTCCAAGGCTGATCCAATAAATATTTGAAGGAATTGTTTTATAAGTCCTGTGGCCTTTGTAATAATTAGGTATGTGTCAAAATATGATGTGATGGAGTTTGCAGCTGGAGTTTACTGGCAAGAACCTCACAGCAGATGGTTAGACATTTCTGTCCTGACTTTTAAGTTTAATTGTCCTTAAATTAAATTAGAATTTGACTGAGAACAAATTTTGACTAACTAAATGATACTGCTTGGCTCCGGAGAGGACAGATTTTACATTTTGTTGTAGTAAATCTCCTAGAGCAGCCCACCAGATCAAGTGGCGATGCGTGCTTTATGTCAGGCTTCGCTGTAGCAAACAGGAGAAGCAGTGAAGGTGTTGGACAGTGGTGGAAGGTCACACGTGTTGTGTTTTGCTTGGCAGTGACTGAGTCTGCGCCCTTACAGCTGGTGCTTCTGTATAGGACGAGACAGGCACTTTCTGGGGCACGACCCGCCAGCCCTGCAGTAGTGTCTGTCCTCCAACACGAGGAACTGGCAACACTGTACGTGTCATAGTGGACAGTCTTGCGAATTTTGCTCCGCGTGGTTGACCAGTAGAAATTTGGACTAGAAAATCAATCTCTGCTTTTGTAAATCCCTGTAATGACTGCTCCTAACTTAAAACTTTAAAATCTCTAACTAAATCTTACCTAAAAACCCTTCTATTAGGTCACTTCCATCATTTTAATTACCTGCATCACAAATGGTGCCTCAGGAAAAGCAAATCCTGCACCGTTGAACATTTGCTGCAGAGATCTCCCAGTGCAATCGGATGTATCCTGCCTTTGGACAGTTGGACTTTGCTTGTTTGTTCTGATGTATTATTTATGCCAGAAATGGAAGCACATCAGTTTTGCCCACTGCAAGTTTTTGCGGCTCACTGAATGATACGTAATTTTTTTGTGTTTCTGGTAGAGAAATTCCACATTTACTTCTGTGGGATAAAGAGCAAAAGCAAACCTCGTATACCCTGGTTGTAATTTCCCACTGTGCTGTGTTCCAGTCTTGGCCTCATGCTTTCTCATTTACATGCTACTCCACAGCTTGACTGCCCTATTTGGTTAACTGTATTTTGAAGACAGAATGGGTTTTGAGCTTCATTTGTCCCTGTTTGTCCCGAATCGTGCACGGTTATGATTATATACATTTCAAAGTTACTTCTACCTGATACCTTTCATACTTTTCCTTCATGCACTTTTTCCTGTTCACCAGAAGACAGCAGAGCGATTGCTTTGGATGGTAGTTCAGGCGGTATCTTGCATTCATTTTGCAGGGCAAAAGGCATCTGATGGAGCTTTTTAGAGGCTGTTCTGTTTCGTCGTGCTTCTCCTTGCCACCTGCACCATCTGCTGCCCATGTATCTTTGTGCTGCAGCAGGACTACAGAGATTGGGCTGGAGCAAGGACGAGGAAAACTTACCCAGCCTCCTGGATCCCAGGCTTGGCAAAGCACAGCCTTAAGGCAGCTGTTTATTTTCTTCTGAGCAAGTTAAAGGCAGATTCCAGGGAGATTGTGGCAATGTTGGGACTCTTGGTCAGTTTTCGGATCCCACATGACAACACGTGACATTTGCCTTTCCAGCTAGTCAATACTGTTTGCTTTGTCATGTGTTCCAGGTTGGGGCGGATGGTTTGATGAAGCTGAGTGGCTCTGCGCTCAACAATGAGTTCTTCACTTCTGCTGCCCAAGGCTGGAAGGAGAGGTTGTCAGAAGGTAAAACTCCCCCAGACAACGGAGCAAAATGCTAGCAGGCTTTCAGCTAGTGAATGTGTTGGGGAATGTATAAAAGGTATTTTATGGAGGAGGTGAAGCACTGGAGTGAGTTACTGGGTGAAGAGAGCTGTAGTCGATACAGCTCGTGAGAGCAAATGCGAGCCTAGAATGATGTAATCTCAAGGTCACCGAGGGGGCTGCAGTAAGGAGTTCTCTTTTGAACTCGATGTGTGGAAAAATGAACAAGTGTCTGGAAGAGATGAGAAAAGAAGGAAAAATGTGTTTACAGTCTTGTTGAAATGACAGTAGAGCTCTGTTATTGTCAAGTTGTGGTAGCTAAATGCAGCCCACTGCTAAGCTCAGTAGAGAAGGTAAATTCTATTCCCAGAGTAACACACCTTGTCATCAACGAAGTTGTCTAGCCACAGTTGGTATGGTCAGTCCTTGGAGCCATAATTTTTTATGTAACATCAAGTCAGCCATTCACTAATCTATAGGACTCCTGCACCTTCAACAAGAATTTGCATCTTGAACTTAGAGGTGCTTAATTCCATCATCAGAAGTGCGCTCACTCATTGTGGGCAGGGAATGTTTCCTCTACAGAAGTGAACCATGCAGCCTGTCACCAGAGTCCTAAACGCTACAGCACCAGTCGTGGCTCACGTTAAGAAGAGAATATCACTTACTCATGCCCAAATGACTGACTCTTAAGAGACTTTTTCATAGCAAATGCATCCAGTTCTGTATGAATAACCCCTTATATGTTGTAGAGTCTGGGTGTATCTACAGGAAGGCACAGAACTGTCTCATCTGTTTAATTGTTAAAACCACCCCCAGTTTCAGCCACCATAATTTAGTGTTTTCCCTTGACTGCTTCTTCAAAAGACCTTTTGTCAATCCATGTCTGCTCATCTAGAGGGTGCAGCTACGTTTACGCAAAGACTTTCTCATCAGAGTAGAAGTGCTGTAGAACCTGCCACAGTGGTAAAGCTCACAACAGCGAGGGTGAGGTCTGGAGGTCTCCGCTGACGTCCTTGCTGAGCGCTGTCCCACTGCTCACGTATCCAAGCGCAATGGCACTGTGGGCAGAGCAGTCCTGTAGGCCTTTGTCAGCTGCTGCTCAAGGGTCTGAGGATCCACAGCAATGCTGTTTGGGGTCACCCTCAGTAGTATTTGACGTGTGCCGTCTGTGGGAAAGTCATGTTCCCACTCTCCCTGTTGGAGCACACCTCTGGGCATGTGCAGGAGAAGCTCATTTGAAAGAGTCAGGATGGTTTCACCAAGGCTAAATCATGTCTGAACACCCGACTGCGTTAAAAAGAACTGGAATTGTGAGCAAGAGGAGAGCAATGGGCATCGTTTACCTCAGCCCGAGGAAAGCTTTTGGCAGCTGTCTCCCACGGTAGTCTTGCACCCAAGCTGGACACTGGGGTCTAGGTGGGTGGACAGCCAGTGGGGTGAACAGCTGGTAGGATGGTCAAGCTTAGAGTTGGGGTTCACACCTGGAGCTGGTAACAAGTGGGTGGCTGCAGGGGTCTGTCCGGGCACCGCTCCTGTTTGTCTTCATTGTCAGTGACCCTGGGGGAGATTGTGAAGGACACCAGGCTGGGGGAACTAGGCAGTGTGCTCGAGGGCAGGGCTGCCATCCAGCGGGACAGAGACAGGCCGGATCCTGCCCTGGGGAGGAAGAGGCCCTGCAGCGACTCAGGCTGGGCAGGGGGACCTGAGAGCAGCGCCCCGGTACCTGCAGGGAGGCGTCAGGAAGGGGGAGCCAGGCTTGTCGCAGCGGTGCCTGGCAGGAGGTGACTGTCCTGATGTAATGCTGACAAGTAACAGCGCACTATCAAGGGACACGCTTTTAGTGTCCTTTGGACCTATTTTGATAACTGCGTCAAGAACAAACTCAGCAAGAATTTCTTACCATCCCCCTATTTGATGGGAGGAAATTGTTGAGAAGCAAACTGTGCAGTGATGGAAGTATCCAATTCCTGTTAATATCTTTAAGGAATCCACTGTTTTGGGGAACTGCGGTCTTGGAAAAGACCTGATTCTACTAACTGTTTGATCCAGTGCTAAAGACCACAAAGAATATGGTGTGTGAACTAGGGAAACCTTGAGAGTGAATGAAGTCTTGAGGCTCGAGGTCAGATGTCTATCATCAAAGCACTGCAGCTGTGTCAGAAACCCAAGCTTTCTCCTTGTGTAATGACAGACTCTTAAAATATTAACATACGGCCCTACAAACCATAATGGTTCAAAGCTGTGTTGGGAGGGTTCAGACCTCACATCAGGAAACGTTTCTTCCAAACCGCAGCACGTGTCTCTGTGAAACGTGCGCTTCAGATGTGCGAGAGAGGTCAGTTGTTCCCACCTGCCTGTGTCAGAATAGCATTCACTGCCAGAAATAATTTCTGTCACTTGTGCCAGGCAAGAAGTCTTTGATGCTCTAGCACACAAACTCCACCACAGCCATGCACGACTGTCCTTGCAAGGTGCCGTATTGCTTTGCCATCTCCATAGGCAATATCCTCTGCTCCCTCAAAAAATGGCGGTTACGCAGTGCGTGCATGCAGACAACATCCATTTGTGCATGGATTTATATTCGTTGAATAAGCGCAATTTCACACAAAGTACCTATTGGCAGCCAGAATGGACACTGACAGGGGAAGGAGTTGTGACCATCGGGCTGTTGCCCATTGCCACAGAGAAACACCCTGCAGCTCAGGAGGAATGCTGGAGGACCACAGGCAGGGTACAGCATCACAAGCTGCGAAGGGGCCTTGTGTGAGGTGGCATTCTCACCTGCAAGCATGTAGGCTCCGGTGCTTATCCCGATGCATTTTATCCGTTGTGTTTCTGAAGCTATCCTTTGTCACGTTTTGCAGGTGAGTTTACACCAGAAATGCAGCTAAGAATACGGCAAGAAATAGAAAAGGAAAAGAAGGTCGAGCTGTGGAAGGAACATTTTTTTGAGAGCTACTATGGTCAGAGGTAAGACCTTCAACTCTCTTTTTTATCCCACATTGCCTGTCCAGACGTACCTGTTGCCGCATTTGTAACGTGCTGCCCATCAATAAACGTTACTTTTCATGAGTCCTGAAACCTCAAAAAGGTCTCTGGCTTCATCTAGATGCCACAGAACTGAGAAAATTATCTAGGTCAGAAGCACTGTGCTTGCTGTCATGATTTCTAATGCTTTAAGTGGTGTAGTACTGTTTTCCTTAGGCAAGGCTGTCCTTTAGAGTTTACAGTTTAACTTTCCCACTCCTTGCTGTGACACAAAGACACTCCCCTCTCACGGTTCTGCTGGTGCCAGGATTCTGGAGATTGCGGGGTGTGGTGGTGGAGCAGGCTCTACCTTGCACTAAGTCATCTGCTCCGTAAAACCTCCGAAATAGCAGTTCTCTCTAGCTCCTGTGGACCTGTCTGGTAGAAGTCAATCAAATAGATTGAATCAAATAGATTCAGCAGGTTTCATCAGACTTTATGGGTTGGTGTTTGGGCAAAAAACCCAAATTTGATATTTTGTTAAGTGGGATGGAGGAAGTAATCCTAAATCAGGCATCACTCTGGGAATTAGATTCCTGCTTGTTCATTTCTTTCACAACTGAAGATGGATGAGTAATGCAGAAAAATACTCCAAGCTTTTTGGTGATGGAGAAGGGCAGCAGCATGGGTTCGAAGCTAAGGGTACGTCGGTGGTTCTGGCACCAGCCATTTCCTCTGGAGAGAACGGTGGGACGCTTTTCAGTGTCCCGTTCCGCAAATGTCACCATATGAGCTTGAGTCAGATGCAAGCTGTGTGGGGTTGTTCACACGCTGCAGAGCTATGTCTGCGGTGGCTAGTGAAGGGAATGGTTACTGTTGGCCAAATTAATTGGATTTGCAGCCTGGAAAATTGATATCTGGATAGACAACTAGATCTAACCTGCGTTCCGTGTATTTCATTTAGTTGGTTTTAAACTTCACTATTAAGTTCTGTTTCACGTCAAGTACTAACACTACGGAAGGTTTTCAGGAATTAGGTGTGTGAGACACATTTATTTAGGTTGTGGCACATAGAGAATCCTTTCTCAATTTTTGTAGGGATAGTATAGTATGCTTTTTGTGAGACTGTTTTACATAATAAAAATTCTGGTTTTGTTGACAGTTCTGGACTAAGTCCTGAAGAGTCCAAGAGACTGACAGCAAACACCAGCCCTGCTGAGCCAGAGACTGAAAATCCAGCAGCTGAACAGCCAAAATGCATGCCAGCCTCTCTGGCACCACTCAAAGAGGAGGTTACTTCTCCATCAGAGTCTAAAGCACAAGCAGTCCTGGAAGCACCAGCGATGGAGAAGGGAGGAGAGGAAAGAGGACAGGATGAGCAGCCCAAACCAGCCAAACCTGCAGAGGCCTCGGCTCCCCTGGATCGGTGCGCACTGAAACCTAGCGACCACCCTCTCCCTGTAAAAGAGAGAGTCCAAGGAGAATCCATTCAAGAGAAACCACAAACTGCCGCGAGTCAAAAGGCAGAAGAAGAGCGAAAGCACACCGCATCAAAGGAAGTGCGAATGGGAGAGACTGTCAGTACCTCAGTTTTGGCCCCGAGTAAACCAAAGAGCCCCGAAGCAGGTGAGGTAGAAGCGAAGGTGAAAAGTCCAGTGATTACTCCAGAAACTCCAGAAAAGAAGTCCCCTGTGAACGAAGAAATGGAAGTCAGCATTGAAGCTCACAAGAGGAAGTCAGAGAGTCGCGAAGAAGCTGTAACCACTCCTGAAAAAAAGCCACGCATCATGGAGAACTGTCAGCACCACCAGGCGTTTCAGACCCAGCCACAGTCCTTTCCTGCCACGGGGACCCCGGTGCCTCGGGTGCCCCCCCTCAAGGTAAAGAGCAGGGACGACAGATCCGCAGGGTGCCCTTCCGTGGGTCGGTTCAGCGGGCAGCTCTCCCAGAAACACTTTGCCAGTTCAGTTCTAGTTATCTCTGGAAATTATGTTACCTGCTTATTACAGTGATGGAAATATTTGATCCAGAAACATAGAAGCTCAGCCATTTGCTAAAGGGAATCTGCTGGCTGGCTAATCAACCTAACTTCAGTTAAGTATCTCTCATACACATGCATCTGTTCAATGGTCTCTTGGGCCAGAAGCTGGAACAATTGTGTGGAGGCCCAAGGCTGAGTGTAACAGGGAGTTCTGTAGGTCCTGGTGGAACCTGGGGAGGGCTGCGGAGGAACTGCCAGACTGATAACAAAGGAAGTTGTAGCCCAAGACTGGACAGGACTTTGGAGATGTGTGAGTACCCCTAGCAGCACAACACCAGGTCCAGAAAGAATGCTGTCAGCAGCTTCTACTAGTATATCAAGTCCAGAAACTAAGTTGTTTACCTGTGTTTAGTAAGACCATCTAGAAATAATGCAGTTCTCGTTTCTACCAGCTGAATGCAGTGCAGTGTCAGAGTAGGTAACAGGGAAAGACTATTCTAGGGACCATCTCGATTCCAAAAGCCCTTTAGCTCCTGAGTCTTGGGGAGAACCTACATGGGAACGGGGACAGGCAACCAGCCACCACTGGGGTAGGGCAGGTGGGAAGGAAGCGAGAGAGGAAGGTGCTAGACCTTGGACTGCACAATGCAGTTCTCTGGCACTTGAGGTGGGCTCAGCTGCTGGAAATGCCCCGTGGTAAGCGATAATAAACACTCTTGATTCGGACGTTCGACGGTCTCAGAAAATCAGTACAAGGTGACACGTGTACAGATGACGCGCATTCCTTCTCCAGCGATGTTATGCTCAACAGCAGATAGTAAATGGATGAACCAGCACAGAAAAATTTTTACAGTCACGTGTGACTGTGAATAGCAAAGTGTGGGTTCTATCGAACAGGGCCTGTGCTTTTCCTACCTGAATTTGCTGTGGTTGAAGTTCAGGTCCCTGGTTTGGGGCCTTAGGCAGAAGTGGCAAATGGAAAACTGCTTAATTACTGTATGTCTTAAGAATTCCTCTCTCCTATTAAGATTCTTTTATACTAGAAGGTATACAAACACAAAATTGTAAAAGCGGTTCATTGTTCTCAGTATGTTAATAAGTCTAGCAGGAAGGTAGGAAAGCATTAATAATGACATTTGTCAGTGACAGAATTGGGGGGAAACTGTCAATAAAAGAGATTTGAAATACCGTGCAGGAAGAACGTTTGACCTTCCAGTGTAATAAACCTGGGATTTAATTTAATAATAGAGTGAATTTAAGGGCAACCGAAAATAGTTTCCCCTGTGAGGCAGAAGACATGTTATTCCTCAGAAAAGAAAGAAGTGGTGAACTGGTTAATCAGAAGATGAGTGGGAGTCAGCAAGGTATTGCAGGTACATGAAAACAAATGTAACCTCAAAATAGACTCGCTTAAATCTTTGCAGTAGCATTACTGCACTGTTCTCACAACTTACAGGAGAAAGAGCGCACTTACAGAAAGGAAACTGGAGTGAGGAGAGGAGCGGAGAACCTGTCTTAGAAGAGAGGACTGAAGTTTTGGCACTTTATCTACAGATTATTATTACTTTGTATAGAAACACTGAGGAGACAAGTGTAAATACACAGGGGTAGCAGAGCAGCGCAAAATAAAGCAGAAAGCTGACACGGTCTTTTAAAAGGATAGAAATTACATATCAGTCAAATTAAGTGTGAAATGGAACAAGGGACGATAGGTGTGAGTTCAGGACCAACCTTACCGTTTTGTCTGCGGGAGCCCAACAGGCTTTTGAGTAACAGTGTACGATGTACGAGCCTGTGACCGCAAGGGATGAGCCTCCGGTCTGAGGTACTAAGGTGGTAAGAGCCTTAAAGTAGGCGTGCCAGACATCAGAAGACCATACACACCTTTTATTATCTATCTCAAGTGAGGGAGATAAGGGATTTCTCCAGACTATGCTACTTCTCTAAGACTAGAACTGTAAACACTTGAATTCTTAACTGTGTGGGTTAAAATATCTCAGTTGTGCTTTTCTCCTCCTTTGTTTCAGATTCCTGTTTCCAGAATCTCCCCGATGCCATTTCCCGCGGGCCAGGTCTCTCCTAGGGCACGTTTCCCAATCTCACTTACCAGTCCGGGAAGAACAGGGGCCAGAACCCTGGCAGACATCAAGGCCAAAGCCCAGCAGGC